TGGGTCTGGTGGGGAGGAAAAAGTGGATGGTGGAGATGCAATGGTAGAGGTGTTGGCAGGTGGATGGGAGCTGAAACCAAGGGCATAGTTGAGATCCCAACAGGAGAGGGTAGCATGGAAGAAAAATGTTAACTGAACCCAAAGAACACTGATGGGAAAGAGTCACATACATTTGTCTTGCGTGACGATGTCTAGGCAGACTATAGCTCCCAGGGCCAGGTGCTAGGTCTTGAGCTTCATTCATTCTCGGCCTCTGCCATAGTGCATTACAGAAGGTAATTCTAAAATTCACTCTGATTTGATTTTTTTGCACTTTCATTAACTAGAATCTTATTGTAGCTTATTATTTGAGATGCTGCTAGGGGATAATTTTTTTAAAAAGGTAAAAATATGACTTTCATACAAATATAAAATGAACTCTTATAAAGATTTTATTTAATTCACTGATTAACAAGAGAATCAGTACGATGTTACCACTATCTCAAGGGAGAATCCAAAGAGTGGACACATATATGATCAGTAATGCTTAAATGAATTTGCTTTTATAGATGCAAATAGGTACTTGCAAACAGATATGCAAATAGTTGCAAAACTGGCTTCTTCCAAAGGCAAGAGAGGGTCAATTGTACTTCCAGTGGACAAAATTCATCTACATGTCTACAGGCAAGAATCATTTGCATTGATATCAATTATCTACAATTTATAGAGTTGTAAAATACTTCAAAGACAAAAAAGGCACAGAATACCCCAATAGAATCAGCCCAGAGGGTGCACTAGACAACACCTATTTTTCCTTTGAAGACACTGTAATCTTTTAGGCTCATTTCAAAGACTTTCATGATTTTCCCTATAATGCTAAAAAAAAAGTTATTCCTGCCATTTCTATTAGTTGGGTCTGTTATAAAATAAACATGGAAGAATATTCCGGTACTAACATACCCAAATTTGAGTACTAATTGATTAGGGAGATGAGGCAGAATTTGGGACCTCGTAGGATGAATCTGTCTTCTAGTTGGAATGGGAAATATTTAAGAATCAAACCAAACCACCTCAAATGCACTCTGAAATAAAGCAGGGTATGAATAAAACACAGAAGATGTTGACATGGTCCTGTTGGCTCACTGTGAGCTTTCCAAGTTGAATGGAGGCCTCCACAACCATGCTTGGCCTCCTTGATCCGCTCCCTCATGCCTGCCTTCCTCTTGGAATGAAGGACTGTCAGACTGCATACTCAGCCCTCAGTTCAAGCGCATGATCCATTTAAAAATGGAAACCGTCCTCTCCTGTGGTAGTGAACAAGGACGACTCTGGTTTGCTGTTGGAAGATTCGGCTGCTTTAGTACAACAGTTCAGGAGAGGATCAGAAGAAGAACATATTAATGATTACCGGAGAAACTGCTTGTATGAATTTCCTGAGCACAATATTTCTTTTTGCAATTTTTGAGTGTTCTGTAGCAAACCTGTCAGAAATGTGAAAACTATAAATAGGGAAGAGTGGGAAGAAAAATGGGGACCTGTCACAATGCCACTGAAATTAGGAAACTAAGAATTTTTCAGAGATTCGAAGTCAAAGGAGGGGTTTAGTACTTACTTAGAAATGAAGCAGCAGGCACATGCTTTAGAATGAAATGAAGGCAAGAGAGTGACATTAGGGAATATAAGAGAAAGACTTGAAGACAGAAAAATGTGTCAACTTAAAATCTCATTCTTAAGAAATGTACAGATCAGAGAATGGGGGGAAAATCAGGATATACTGACTGCTTATTCTGTCTTGCACTGATTAGGAACTTTATATCTACTTTTTAACTTAATCTTCCAGCTCCTATTCCAGCTTCTATCTCCTAGACTCCGGCTCCCATTTCCTATGAAATAGATATCATTGCCAGAGATGAAATTCAGATATTTAACAGTAAACAAATGTTTAACAGCACAGACCATTAACCAACCAGAAGCTGGCCAGAGGACCCCTGCTGAACCAGGCATTAAGCCTCTAATGGCTGGATCCTGAGGCCATGGTAGGGATATTGGAAAGGGGTCAGGGCAGCAGGGGACTGTCACCCACCAATTGCCCCGAGGAACTCAACGTGGGGTTCGGGAAGCATTTAACTGTTTTTCCAAATTGTTTTTTTCTCCCTTTAGTTATGTTAAGGAGATGCAATCACCAACCACCCTGAACCAGACCAAGCCTCACCACAAGAGCTATGCCCAGGACATTTGCCTTATCTTATTTTTGAGGAAGACTGGCCCTGAGCTAACATCTGTTGCCAATCTTCCTGCCTTTTTCCTTTTTTCTCCCCAAAGCCCCAGTAGATAGTTGCATGTCATAGTTGTACATCCTTCTAGTTGTTCTATGTGGGACACCACTTCAGCATGGCTTGATGAGTGGTGAGTAGGTCCGCGCCCAGGATCCGAACCGGCGAACCCCGGCCCGCACTGCGGAAGCGGAGCACGCAAACTTAACTGCTAAGCCACCGGGTCGCCCGACATTTGCCTTATTTTTAACGCCAAGATCTCTCTGGGAGGAGCTTAGGCCTTGTTACCATAAACTGCAGTGTCTGTGGAAGCATATTTTCCAACTGAGCCTGCACAAGTGAATACCTACCTCTCCCTTTTGAATATTCATTCCCCATCAGAAATAAAAGGTCCCTGCTTCTTTTTGTTTGGGACGCCATGACTTTGGAAATGATTATGCATGGTCTCCTATGTGCTGCAAATATACTTTACTTTGTGTGACACCTACTTTCAGTGGAGAGCCTGATTTAACTCGCCAAGAGGTGAACCCACCTTGGTTTTGGTAACAGGACACACAGCAGCCTCTGGACAGAGGCTGTTCACCAACCTTTGCACAGCTGAGATGGTGTGTCCCAACTGAATATCAGCTCTGAGTGGAAACCCAGGGCCGCATCCTCTGGGCAGGTTTAGGCTTACCCTCCCTCTTGCCTTTGTTCTCCTAGGGTACTCTACTAGCCTCAGTGGTCCTTCCTGCTGCTCCTGGCTTTGGCGGGTTGCACCACTGCCACAGCCTATGGCTCCAAGTAGCAGCCACTCTCTGGGGTCTTGGCTACTCCCTACTGACACTTGGGAGGACAGCAGGCAGCAGGGACTCTCACTTTCCTTTGCCACCTAATCCCTTCAGCACCCCCAAGGTTGACACAGCAGGCTTACAAATTTAGGTTCCTCTCTTTACTAAAGGCCTAGGAAGAATTTCAGAAAGGAACTATAATGAAGGAAGGAAGGAGTTCAAGTTCTAGCTCATCTAGACTTCACGAGAAGGCAGCTTTGTTTGGTCTGCCCAGCATCCTTGCCCCTTCTCTTGGTGACTTGGTTAGGAGCATGGGCTTTGCAGTTTGTGCTGCCTGGGTTTGGCCTTGGGCTAAAAGTCACACCTTTCAGAGCCAACATGGGCTGGTTATTAGAACCATTAATTTTGTTAGGTCTGAAGATGGCATTGCAGGTTTATAAGGAAATGTCTTGTTTTCTTCTTCTTTGATGTGTAAACTGAGGTATTTGGAGAGCGGGAAACGATATGATATTTGGGATTTGCTTTAAAATATATCCCAGCCAAAAAAGGAGGTGGTGGTGCAGTGGTAGGAGGAAGACAGATGACACAGGTACGGCAAAATGTTGATGACTGTCAAAGCCCGGTGACGAGTACATGTGGGGTCTCCTGGTATCCTTGTGCTCTCCAGACTTTGTGTTTGTTTGAAAATTTTCATAAGAGTAAGCAAACAAAAAACAAATAACGAGGCATTCATTCCCCGTATCCAAACAAACATAACAGGCACGTAGGATGCACTTTTCATAATTGCTCCTTTGGCAATCTATTTTGATTCTCCAGATAGGTTCCAGCGCTCATCCTATCTCATCTCCTCCAGACATTGGCAGGGAATATGCTCTTTAATAGGCTTGCCAGGCCCAATGCTAGGGTGTGTCGGATTCTATACCCACATTTTAAAAGAGTGACCAGTTTCCTCTTTGGAGTAACTTGAATACATGAGTCTCATTTTAAGGTATTGCCTTCCTCTGTCCCACTCCTTCTGAAGGGCTAAGACAGGTTAATGTCATCTCTAAGGAGAAGACAGCATTGGGAGGAACAGCTTTTACCAAGTTTATAAAAGCCACGCTGCAGGAAGGAAAAACTTGCAGATTGAGAAGTGTGAAGTGAGCTTTGTGGTTTGAGTTGTCAGAGTCTCAACGAGAAAAAATAGAAATGAATCGTCATCATCTAACCATGGTATTCACCACTAGTGGAAAGGACAATAGGACAAAGAGCAAGGGAAGAGAAAAAGAAAATCTCAGAATAAAATTGGGATGGGTGTGGGAGGAGGAGGGAGAAAGTCTGAGAAATTGGAGGGGGTAGTGATTGCACCAATACTAGCTACAAACACAAAAATTTGTCCATTCCTGGTTTAGATGAAAAATAAATACGTATGCACATATATTTGTTTGCTGTGTTTTGACTAAGCAGCTGGTGAGGCACTCCTTGAAGAACCTTGAAGACCCAAAGCTGTGCTCAGAGGCTGCCCAGCTGGAACTGAGCCCAAAATTGAGCAGTGATCCTCCAGCTAACCACCTAATTCCCCACAGGCCCCTGGAACGGAGCCCATGGGAGAAGACACTACTCTCGCCCGTGGGCGCCAAGGCTAGGAGGGGAGGCTCGCAGACCCGCCTCACAACCAGAGAGCTGACATTCGGCCATGGCTCTTCTTTCAGCATTCCGCTGCAGCGCAGTCTCGGGGAGAAGACACAGTAACAGCGCGGCAAGCAGACTTTTCCCAGTGGAAACGCTGGGGTGGGGAGATAGCCGGGCTGGCGGATCCGGCCCATCCCCTCCAGGGCTCAGCCCCGCCTCCCTGGGCGCCGGGCCGCCCAGCAGCGGCGCGCGCGAGGCTGCACTGCCGGCCTCCACCGCACGGGGCAGCACTGCCTGCAGCACGGCGGCGGCGGCCCAGGAGCCTCTCTTGGCGGCGGCAGGCGGAGGCCGCCCGCGCGCCCTCGCTCATTGGCCGCGGCGCGGGCGCTGCCATGTTGGCGGAAGCAGTGGCTCCCGGGCCGTGGAGACGCTGTGGCTAGCGCTGCGTCCCTGCGCGCAGACTCCTGCTGTTTTGGCCTCGCTGGTTTTGGCGCTGAGAGGCGGCGGCCGGCGGGATGGAGAAAAGTAGGATGAACCTGCCCAAGGGGCCGGACACGCTCTGCTTCGACAAGGACGAGTTTATGAAGGTGCGCGCCGGGCTTCCCCCGGGCCGGGCTGTGGGTGCCGGCCCTGCGTCGCCCCGGGCCTCCCCTCGGGTCCTCCTGCCGCGTCCCGGCCGCGCTCGCCCGTCGGCGCCCGCTCTGTGACAGGCCCCGCGCTGCACTGCGTGGACTCCTGGCCTCAGGTTTGGCAGGTGCAGCCTGGAGAGAGCACTTCTGTGAAATCGTGCATATTAAGAGAAATGGTCTGAAAGTTCTAGGCAAGGGATTTTGAGCCGAATCTAAAAGCCCGTGTTATTATCTGATGCTGTTACCACGTGGTGCAGTCAAGATTACCAATCCCCTTGCCAGGCGGAAGCTTGTTGCCCAGTGCCTTAAACCTAGAAGCTCAGTAAATATGTGTTGAATAAATCTCTGAACGCACGTACTTACCCAGGGATCGGGTTGGAAAAAAAGGCACTTAATCTAAGGTTTTTGCCTAACATTCATGTTAAAGCTTCTGGAATGAGATATTTAAAAGATTAGAATATTCTTATTGATTTTGTTGCAGTACAACAAAGCAAACCATTTTCCTTTTCTAAAGGTGCCCTACTTCTCCTTTTACAAGGTGAACTTGAACTTGGTCTGCAGCTAATTGTTGGACATAAACTTACAGAATAGAAATATAGGCTGAAAACGATTTACTGATAGTAAAAGTTCATCAGGCACAGCCTTGAAAATGTCCAAGGTCTGAATCAGAGCTAGGAGGAGCTTTGCCTACCTATGTGTCTGCACTTAAACCATCAAAAAATATATTTGTTTAATTTCTAAGGATTGAAACTTTTGACACCACCTAGTAGCTGGTTTCAATGTTAAAAAGTTAAAAGTTTTAGCTCAGTAGACACTTCAAATTTTGAACGAGTTTAAATCTGTTATTATCCTGTGTTTTGTGATGACTTCAGAATATGTTTTTCTAGGTTAATTAGCTCTCTTTTTGATTTTTACATTCAGGTCACATCTCCAAAACTCTGGTTTTAAAAAAGTATTTACATCTGGATCCTCTCCAGAGTGGCCATATCATTTTTAATATGTGGGGCTATCTAGACCCAGGAATGTTGTACTCTTGTTTTTGTACAGTGATGTTTCTGCTAAACCACTGTAATAAAACGTGTAACTTGAATGGGATGTCTGAAAGAGAGTACAAAGTGAACTCATGGATCCAGAAACCCTTTGTTCCACGTCCTGAGAGCTACCCTGACGTGAGGGTGGAAAGAAGGAACTGAGGATACATGATGCGGAGAGGTGCACTGGAAGAAGAAAAGGTGCACACAGAGATCAGGGCTTTGTTCTGACTTCGAGGATCTCAGAGTACCGAAAACTCTTGTCCATCTTTTGACTTCTTTATACTTCCTCAGGCCCAACACCAGCATCCTTTCTGACTCACTAGCCCCACCATCTTTCTCACTCTGAGCTGTCAGAATGCCTTTGGTAAAAGCAGCTTCAGAAAGTAAAAATCTCAAAATGTAAGTTCTAAAATAGAACTTAGAGGTAGGGAGAGAGCAAACTGGGGAAGTGGCTGGAATGCCAGCAATTCCGTATTCTTTCATGGCTGTTAAACCTCTGAATATGCCATGCAATTTTTAGTGCTAATAAATGTGACCACTTCATATGGAGAAGAAAAATACGTAGAACAGCTGTTCTGTGTAAAACGCTATTGATTTTCTAGGTGGGACCTGGAGATAAAGGTTATTTGCAAATTTGTGTTCCCTTTGAAGAGACATTTAATAAGTTATAGTTCCGTGCACAGAAGATGGGTGGAGAACCTGCTCTTGGGCTTATGTTTCTACATTTGTGTCTTATTCAACACATTTTGGAATTGGATAGGTTTTGTGCCTGTGGGAATGTTAGGGAATATCAGATTTGCATTAGGAGAGTTGAGATTACTTGAAATCCAGTTAGTTGATTGGAAACTGTGTCATTAGTCTGCCAAACATGATGACCTGGTAGGGCAGTGGTAACAATTGCTCATTTAAAATAAACAGGGATTCACTGATCACCTACTGTGTGCCAGCCAGCCATCTAGACATGATGGTACAAGGAAAGATAAGATACGGTTTTGGCTTTTGAGTATGGTGATAGGAAGAATGTGTGCGCCATGAAATTGCACTTAGTTCAAAGTCGGTTGGGGTATGGAAGAATGGCCAGGTATGAGACTGGAAGCTTAGAAAGGTAGATGGGGGTGGGGTCACAAGTTGTGCTGGGCCTTGTACACTGCACTGAGGCGTTTGTGCCTGATGCACTATTCGTTATGGAGTTACAGTCTAATTTAAAGCAGGAAATTACATGGTCATTTCTGTTGCATTGGAGCTGACTGGTGGCAGGAGGCTACTTAAAAAATCATTTCAGTGGCCCCTATGAAATCTAATGAAAAATACAGAGGAGGGAACAGGTTTGTGAAAGATGTAAGTGATCAAAAGGCAGGACTGGCAGATGGAAGAATCACTTTGGGGTGGAGGTGGTGGCAACATCGAACTGTTAGCTTTGTCAGCTTAAAGTACACAAGTCCTGAGAGGGTTGACTAATGAATGAAATAGGACATGGTGTAGTAGGAGAGAGAAAGTGGCATGCTAACAAAGGTAAATTAGACCCATTTACCTAGGTGTGCTGTTGAAATCATAGCCTTCCCCTTCTCTCTCAGCATATGACTTCATCTCCTGTTTTAGAGAAAAAAACAGAGGCCATCAAATGGGAACTCCTTTATCTTGCTGATAACAATCCCATTCTTAAAAACAACTACAAAACAAAAAACCAATCCCATTCTTGTATTTGTACCCATTTTCTTTCTCCTCCTTGCCTGGTATGTGGAGGAGCTTTCTTTCCTCCTGAGGTTCATTCTTCTACCCATGCTTGGATCCCATGCCCTCTTGCCTTCTCAGAACCGTTATCTTTTCCTGCTCTATCCTCCTTCCCTTTGGCTTTCATACACACTCCTATTTTAGTTTCTTCCACTTTATCCTCCCGCCTTTAGTTATTGCCCTGTCACTCTCTTCCATATCGCAGCCAAATGCTTAAGAATTGTCTGTATTTTCTCACCTTTCACCCTTAAACTCTTTCCATTCTGGCCCCATCATTCCACCAACAGTTTTCACCCAAGTTAACTAGATGTAAGTTAATCCAGCAGACCTTTTTCTGTCTCCTTACTTGCCCTCTCTGCAGACCAAATGCTCTCTTTATTGCTTTCTGGTTTTCTTGTTACATCTCTGGTCTTGCTGTCTCCTGTGCATAATCATTCTCCTTGTTGTAGCAATTAAATGGCTGGTTATGGGCTCAATCACATGTCCTCCCCTTTTCCTAGATGATCCTCTGTGCAACTTCACTGACCATCTATAGGCAGGTGACACAGATTCATATTTCTGGCCCAAATGTCTCCTGATCTCCAATCCCATATCATGAACTTCTCTTTGACATCTCTTTTTGAATATTTCTGGCATCTCAAACTCATCATGTTCAAAACTGAATTCATGAGTACCTTCTCCCTCCAATACTAGCTCTCTTGTAGTATTACCTATCTCAGTAAATGCTCCACCATCCATCTAGTTGTGAGTCAGAAAACCAGGAGTCGGCTCCTCTCTCTCTCACCTTTCCAAAATCCAATCTATGGATTTTACCAAGTCCTATAGATTTCACTTCCTGAATATCTGTTGAATCCATCTACTTCTCTACATCTCCTCTTTTCCTACCTTCCAAATTATCATCTTATGCGATTATACTAGAATGGCTTCTTAACTAGTCTCCGTGCATTCATTCTTGCTCTTTCTAATCTTGTGTTCTACATTGCAGGCAGGCTGTTCTTCTCAAAATGCATATCCGATCTTGTATGTGTAACAGGTGGATAGTCAGTCTGCCTGGTCATGAGAAAACATTTTTCAAAACATTTGAAAATATTTCAAAGCAGCTCATTCTATTGTTGGATGGTTTTAATGGTAGATAGTTTGTATCTCTGCTAAGCCAAAATCTGCCTCCATTGAACTTCTATTCATCAGTTCCTTTCCTGAACCCCCACCTCTTAGTGGCTTTGTTGGCACTCTTGGTAGGCACATGATATGTTTTTTTTTTTTTTTGTGAGGGAGATCAGCCCTGAGCTAACATCCGTGCTAATCCTCCTCTTTTTGCTGAGGAAGACCGGCTCTGAGCTAACATCTATCGCCAATCCTCTTCCTTTTTTCCTTCCCCAAAGCCCCAGTGGATAGTTGTATGTCATAGTTGCACATCCCTCTAGTTGCTGTATATGGGATGCAGCCTCAGCATGGCCGGAGAAGCGGTGCGTCGGTGCGCACCCAGGATCTGAACCCGGGCCGCCGGTAGCGGAGCGTGCGCACTTAACCGCTAAGCCACGGGGCCGGCCCCCACATGATACCTTTTTAATGAAGAGAGAAATTGGGAACCCTCCTTATGGTGACTGCAAGCAACTATGATATGTTAAAGAACTAGTAGAAAATAGGTCATTGAGGCTCCTCCCTGTTCTAACTGGCTGAATTGGGAATATTGAAACAGGAATTGTGTCCAAGAGTCTCCTGTTCTCAAGGAGCATATATTCTAATGGAAAAGGGAAAAATGAGCAGCTGTTCGGATCTCTTTGTGTTGCACCAGTTGAATAGTGACCTGGAAATGTGGGTGCCAGTATCAGCTCTGCTGCCCACTAGTGTGACTTTGGGCAAATTGCTGGCCTCTGGGCTTCAGTTTGCTCATAAGTATGATGGGGTGGTGCTTATCTAAATCATATTTGCAGTCTCTTCCAGCTCTTGACATTTTATGTTTCTGTGAAAAAAGACGTCAGTTTTTCTGGTTTGCAGATAAGAAAACTGAGGCCCCAGGGTGCCATGACTTCCCTCAAAGTCATATAGCTAGTTGGGGCAAATCACGCCGTTATCTCCTAATTCCCTGACTCCTGGGCTTCAGTCCTGGGAAAATAATAGTGTAACACTTCCCTTCCCAGAGTTCCAGAGGTGGGAACTTTGGGAAGTGGAAAATTTGCAATATCATCAAGA